AAGTCAGAGACCACTTTTGATTTCATTAATTCCCAGTCAAAACTGCTATTAAATACCAATAATTCAATTTTCATGGCCAAAAAATCAGAAAAGACACATTTAATCTAAAATTATGCAGAAGCCTCAACAACGATACAATATGAATATCTCAGCATTCTGTGTCACTTTTTACCTTCATTCCAGCTTCCATTCTTTTCAGGAGACTCACTTTCAGTTCCTCCAGTAAATCTGCAGACACACCTCCAAAGTTCAGTCTTAGGAGCTGGTTGATCATTTTCTGAAGTAATCAAACACATTCAGTGGTGTTGAGGTCTGGACTCTGGGGTGGTCAGTCCATTGTTCAGCTTCTTTGTTTGATGTGTCCGTCTCCTTTTCTCAGTGAGGCTCTTCTTGAACAGCTACACATCCTTTCAGACCCACAGCGCTGAGTCGTCTTCTCACAGTGGAAGGATGGACAGAAACACCTGTGGATGTTTTCAGATCTGAAGCAGCTTGATTTTCTCCTCTCTCTCAGAGATGAAAGCTTTAAGTGCTGTTTATCTGATGGGGGCAGTTTTGGTGTCGACCAGGTCTTCCAGGTGGTTGTTAGGAGCCACGTTTTCTCTGCAGATTTTAATTTAGAAAACTCCTGTTTTTCACTTACTTTCCTTTGATTTTCTCCTTCTTTATGCAGGTGGATTATCTTATATCTAATCTTCTCAGAAACCTCTCCTGTAAAATGATTAACTTGTACTTACTGGCCATTGTAAATTGAATCAATAAAGAGTTGGCTCTGACTTCTGCACAGTAAAGTAACTCTGAATTCTGACATCCATCTTACATCTAATACAACACAACACTGGATGTTTACTCACACACAGAAACCACAAAAGGGAAACTGAAAGGTTTACCAGGTTAGGGGAACAAATCTCAGCGGACAAGCCTCTATTAATTTTGATGCAGCCCTGACATTTAATAAAAACAGGGCAATTAAGCCGATCATTTAGCATTAGTGCGCTAAAGCCAGTTCAGATTAACAGTACGAGCCTCCGCTGCACACAAAGGAGCGGAACGACAGCGGTGAACGAATCGTCTCCGTCAGCGTTTCTCCATCCAGGGAGAGAGAAAACGAGAGGAGATATTCTCCCAAAATAACATCAGGCGAGTTCAGCTTCCATTCATTCCTCTTTCTGCACCCTGCTCTGTCCTTTTACAGCGGACGGTTTTGAATTGTGGCTCCCGGTCTCGGTCCTGGAGGCCCTGTGCTCTGCACATTTGTGGTTTTTTTTCTGACCAAACTTGAATCAACTCAGGAGCTAATGAGCAAAACCTTGATGGACTGAGTCAGGTCGTGTGTTAGAGCAGGAACACAACAAAAAAAGTGCAGAGATCAGGAATGGACTGCCCAAATAAACCAGGTGAAGAATTACACAACAAAAAAATGACCTGGGTAAGAAGCGTGTAGAATAAAAAATGATAAAAAATCATAATAAAAATAAAAAAAGACTGAACTATTGCATCCTCAGTGAGGCTATGATGGCTAATGTTCATTATTAGCATGGGCCGCTAACCGAGAACGACCACTAGTGGGTAATATTAAAGATCAATTTGAAGTTTTAGGATCACAAATGACTCACTATCTCGTCCACATGTCAACACAACACATCATCACTTCATCAGTATTTCCATTTTGTCGCTTTTTATTTTTCCACCTAATTTCAACATTGCGAGTGTTCTTTACAGTGTGTGAAAATTTCATGATGAATGGGCCAATAGAAATGCTCCAAAATAGCTTGGAATAAAACATCCGTACACTAACTTACATAATAATTTAAAATAAGGTTTTGCCTTCTTCTGTCTGTAAAAGTATAATTTTGGAGCTTGTTTTTCTTTGTACAGCGACGACATGCTGGTTTTGCTGGTGACCATGCAGCTATGTTGGTCTATGCTGGTTTTATAGCAGGGTAGCTGGTTACATAGCTGTAAAAAAGCTATTAGCCTAGCAAATTCATCTGTGCTATCATTGATTCATCATTGTTTAGTTATCACCAATTCATCTTTGCTCAGTTAGCAAGCTAGGAAAAATTCATTTTGCTCAACTAATTCCTCTTTAATTAGTTAACTAGTAAAAAACAATCTTCGCTAACCAAATTTAGAATTTTTACCTAGTTAGTGAGCTAAAGTTCACCTTTGCTTGGCTAATTCTTTGCATGCTCGGGCCAAAATTATCTTTCCTTATCAAATTCACCTGTTCATCATGACTTAGTTAGCAAGCTGGGAAAGATTCATTTTACTCAACTAGTTCCTCTTAGCTAACTAGTAAAAAATTTCTGCTTAAAATTGTATAATTTTTTACCTAGTTAGTAAGCTAAAGCTCTGCTTAGCAAATTCTATGCATAGCTGATTAGCACACTAGGGGGAAAATCTACTTTCCTTAGCAAATTCATCTTTTTATCTTAGCTAATTCATAATAAATGCTGGTTAGCTAGGAAAAAAACTAAGTGCATAAAGCCCTATTGGAGCTGGATTAGTTTTACCAGAGGGGTCCAGTAATGTAGATTCTGCATGATTTGACTGGCTGATCTGTACAGCAAGGATTTGCATAATTTCCCCAAATTACCCCAAACAACTTAGACTAAAACGTCATTGTGGGGATGTTTACATCAGGATTATGAGACAGACGCCACACTTCCGAACACTGACAACACACTGTGTGGCTAAATGTTTAATATGCTGCCAAAAAAAAACCCAAAAAAACAAAAACATGGTGACACTGGACGAGGGAGGAGACTTTACTTCTAGTTTCAGTGTGGGGTGATGCCTGTTATCAACGGTGATTCCAAATGATGGTGCATAACATACATCATAGTATACAGGAAGGAAAAATATATACACAAAATTGTTGAGGAGTGCAGTAGTCTGGCCGTGAACTTGAGAAATAAAGAATTGGGTCAAATTACCTCCTATAAGTTTGGTGAATTTCATGAGATAAATTCTCTCCAACATTATTACTTGGCAGTAAAAAGTACAAACATGGCAGATTAGTACTGGATTAAGATCACAGATCTGATCCATGATCATCACAGCGCCTCCCCAGATAAAACTAATCCAGCTCAAATAGGGCTTTAGTTTGTAGTACAGCTGAACTTGTGGTAAGGCACCCTGGTATCACGCTAACAAGAGTGACCAGTGACTGAGCACAAAGAAAGATCTTCGAATAATAACAAGCTCATTTATTCCAGTCTTGATAAACTGACCAGTAAGTGTACATCGCAGAAGGGTAGTTGTTGGCCAGTCTGAATAAAAGTCCTGGGCCAATTTTTAATCCCAATTCGTCTTTGGCAGAGATTGGCGTCCTGAGGCCTGGGATTGGCCTCGCAGCACTCAGGCAGAAAGCAAAGCGCTAGCTAAGCGTGTTCCACAGCGTCCGGGGGGCGTGAGAGACACGTCTGCTTCCTGTCCTGGAATCAGCCCAGACAAGATAAGACCGTTCTGCTGCTGAACGCCGAGCAGCAGGCGCTGCACTGCACACAATGGAGGGCTTTCTGAGTCAGGAATTATTGTTAGCCTACACTGAGATTTGTGTCAGAGGGCCAGAGTGGAAAAAAAAAACAGCAGCAAACTCGCCTCTTAAAAGAAGCAGCGGGGGGAAAAACTTCAGACTTGACGTGAAAGAGATAACGTGCCTTGGGGAGTCGTTCCACAATCCAGTTCAGTCACAAATGGTTTCGTGCTCTGTCATTTACACATAAGCTGGCCCTTCAGGGAACGCAGCTCGTTCTTAAAAGCAGAAAGTTGCTGCTGTGTGAA